GTGTGTGTGTGTTCAGGTGAACTCAGCGCTGGAGTGCTCCTTCCTGCTGCTGAAGGGACCCTACGACGACGTCCGGATCAAGCCGGTCATCTACCACCACTCCTTCAGCAACGACACCAACGAGACCGACTACGTCCCGCTGCCCATCTCCGACTCCGTGGAGTGCAACAAGCTGCTGGCCGCCAAAAACATCAACCTGCGCCTGTTCATCTTCCAAGTCCAAAAATAAAAGCCGAGCGAGGGCAGGAGGAGGAGGAGGAAGACGGAGGATGAGAGGAAGAAGAAGAAGAAGCCTGGTGATTAAAGAGAGGGTCTGAGGAGAAGAGACAGACACTGAACCACTGATACCTCTTAACACTTATACACACAAACACACACACACACTAATCACACTTACCTCCTCACACAAAGTAGTGACACCCCCTGTTTGGGTAAGCCGTGAGTTGCTATGGAGACGGGACGGGTGGGCTTTTCTGTGGGAGGGTGGAGTGAGGCGTTGGGGGGTAACCGGCGTTTCCAGGTGATTGGGGGCGTCCCCGTGGTTTGTGGCTGACCTTTGACCCCTGACCCCCGACCAAAGGTAGCTCCCGCCCGGGTTTTAGTGTGTGTGTGTGAGTCAGAGCTCTGGCCCACGTTCAGGCGCCCCGATAGCGTGAAAACGGAGGAAACGGCTCGTCTCCCGGCTGACCTCTGACCTCTGACCTTCCACCCAGAGCAGAGGCTGCATGCGTGTTTTAGTTCGGCTTTTTCTTCCAGCTGTTTTTACATTTAACCTCCCACACCGATAGCGTTTTATTTCTCTTAACCCTGAATATTTAAGTACCCGCCACCTCTTTTGTTCCTCCTCTTTTTTTAGTTGTGTTTCAGCGCACACATGGCTGCCTGTGTGTGTTTGTGCGGGCTGCTCCTCACGGACACGAATAGCAAAAGTCTGGACCAGCACCAGACCCCCACAGGCCCCGGGGGCTCGGTGTGTTTACTTCCTGGTAAACGAGCTTCTGGGAGGATCGGCATGTCTAAAATAAAATAAAACGGCTTGGGCTTCACATTTGTAGTTCAAACCTTGATTTTAGCCTTTTTAGCTCACATAGCTTTCGCACACTATATATTTTTCTTTTCATTTAAATCTGCTCATTTAACAACAAAAAAATCTGAATTTTTCGGTACCGGAAAGATTACATTTATTGGGTCAAAAGAACCAGATTGCCAGCGAGTCTCTGGACCTGAGGGGCCACTCTGAGCCCGGCGGGGTCCAGGGGGCTGATGAGTGTGAAGGGGAGCTCCTTCCTGTCCGGAGGGGCTGTGAACTGACCAATCACTGAAAACAATTACCTGGACTCCACCTGCCCTCTCCAGAACACGTTTTGGAGGATCGCTAGCGGTGTGACTGATGGGATGTGTGGCAACGGGAGGAGGGAATCTCACCATAGAGACGTGTTAGTGTTAGAGCCGAATGGAAATGAGATGTTACTTACATAGATTCTACTGTAAGGCAGATAGATCTCTCTCTCTCTCTCTCTCTCTCCTCCTGAACTCTACTTCCTGTATTTCTGTGTTTTAATGCTTTGTCTCTATGCCAGTGGACTCACTCATCTCACTATGGCTGTACATGTGCCTTTTATTAAAGATCATGGAACCTGCTCGCCGCCTCTGCGTGTTCCTGCGCCGGGGAACAGAAATAGGCCTCGCTCGGCATAAATTATGGATTCGCTGCTGCAGATATGAAATCTAAATTTAATTCGAAGGGTTCGTGTGGGTGATGGATACGTTTCATTGAATTGGATGGGGAGAATATGAATCACGCGGAGAACAAAACGAATTACACGGCGTTGGAACGGCTGCGTTGGCTGTTATTGCCTGCATGAAAGTGGAAGGAGGGTTATTGTGATGCTAAAATCTCTGTCGGCCGAAGACTCGAAAGCAACCGTTTTGTTGTTTTTGTGTGTATTGATTTGCTCCTGTGGGGCTGTAAAAGCTAATGGATCTCACTGCATTTAATAGTTTCCAGTCGGCTTATTTGAGCGGAGATTTAAAAACAAACTAAAGGTGGAAATCAAGTTAATTCTGACTTTCTGCTGATCTACTGTCAGTAGTAGCTGATGGTATGAGTTATACACATCAAACATCAGCAGTTGAGAATTTCCACTGTCATTTGTACAAAAACTCTTTAAAAAAAAGGTCTTCTCAAGATATAATTTATATATTTACTGGATCCTATTGTCCTCACAATGGACCGAAAAGATGTTTTGACCTCACTCTACCAGCAAAATTCCCTTTGAAAACGGGAAATGTGCGTCTATGAACAGGTCCGTGGGCCTTTGGGCTGCAGGGGGCGCTGCAGCCTTACTCAGTCCAACTTTCTCAGAAGTTTACGGGGATGTTTCCTGTCAAACATCGGGTTTACAGCCCTCATGGTTTGCGTCCTCTTAACCTGCCCCCACCTGGAGTCTGTTGCTTACTTGTCCGCCGGTCTGAGGCTGCCGTCCCCCGGCTCAAACACCCGGATATCCTCCTGAATATCAGCCCTCACTGCTTTCTGCTGTGGCTCCATGCACCTGACCTCATGCTCCATCTGACCCGTCACAGCTCCGTCTACTCTTATTGCTCCACGGCCACGCTCAGAGGAAACAAAGAGGCGGGATGCTGCAGAAATGTGACCTCGTCAGTCAAGCCAGGGCACTTTATTCTTTTCACACAGTGCATTTCCGTAAAAGACAATATATAATTTAATAACAATATAAAACTCCATTTGTGTATATAAATTATGCATTCAGTACAGCAGCTCTGATATATACTACTAAGCTTTGGTACAGTGGAACATTTATCTCTATATACGTGAGAACAGCGCGCCCAAAGGGCACCGTGAGGAAGAGGGCGGGTGAGGAAGGAGAAACTGTGTTTAAAAACGCATGTGCGCACATGTGAGTTTAAGCAGGAACCAAAAAGTAACGTCACTCGATCAGTACTGCGCGCTCCAGGCCGGAGGGTGGCAGCTGCCGGGGTGGGGGGGGGGGGGGGGGGGCACCATGCAGCAGTAGGCCGGGTCCCCGACGCCAGCGGCCACAGCCTTAGCGGGGGGGTAGGACACCGGGACGCCTCCCTGCTGGAGACAAAGGGAGGAAAACTGCTGCCATCAAACTCCAACAGAGCTGCCCGAGACTAAAGGGACCCGGCTTTACCTGGACCATGCTACACTGATGGGAGGCGACCGGGGGGTAGGAGCCCAGCACGGTCTGGGGCTGAGAGTGGGGGGGCGGCTGCACCCTCACAGAAGGGGAGTAACCTCCTGCACACACACACACACAGGCACACACACACACACACACAGACACACACAGACAAAAGCAAAAGAGAGATTAGAAGTGAGGATAATCTTCCGACACATGAGGTCCCGTTTGGTGCTGAAATAACTTCATGTGATGGATTCTTCAAAGAAAATTCTTCTTTGTTTGATTAAATGGAAATAAGCTGAGTGTGCGTCTCCTGTTGCCTGCTGGTAAACGTTATGAGCGTCACACTGAAGAGGAAGTGTTAGAATTCACTGACACCGATCGATGTGAAATGTGAGAATTTAAAGCCAAAATTTAAATAGCGGCTTTGTGTTTGAGTCGGTTAGCTGTTTAGATGTGGTGTTTTGGACAAAAACATGGACCCCGTGGTGCTTTTGGTCCAGACTGAGCAGAGAGTGGTCCTCTGTGATGGTTAGAAACAGCAGGAAAAGAGACCGGTTCACTGTGAGACCCTCAGACTACATCTCTGACAGTGTAACGGCCCCCTCCTCTACTGCCGCCGCTAGCTCCAGTCACCTTTATCCCGCCTCTGACCGGTCAGCGTTCGTGTTAGGCGGGGGGGCGGCCGGGTACCTGTGGGCGGGGGGGGCGGGCCGTAGAGCTGCTGGCTGGGCGAGGCCGGCCGGCATCCATGCTGGGCTGAGGTAGGATACTGGCCGTAGTAGTACACAGGCACCTGGGGGGCAAAAACAAGCTGCTGACCTCACACTCAATCACCCAATAACCACTCAGAGTCTGCATCCAACGTGTGTGTGTGAGCCTCCACCTGCGGCGAGGGCTGCTGGCAGTAGGTGGAGGCGCCGGGGGGGGGCGGGGCTGCATAGATGTACCCCTGAGCGGGGGGGTAGAGGGGGGGGGGCACGTCTCCGGTTGACTGACAGCTCACCGTCACATGAGCCATCTGTGAGGAAAGATCTTCAACCTGGAGGTCAGCAGAAGGGAGGTAAGAGAGAGACACACACACACACACAGACACACACACAGACACACACACACACACGGATACGTACTGCTGAGTACGGCTGTGAGGGTGTGACGGGCAACATCTGTGGAGCTGAGTACGACACGGACGAGTACTGAAGCACCTGAGAGGACACACACACACGTGTGGACAGAGAAAAGGCATGAGTCAGCAGGAACATGTCTGCTTCATGTGTGTGTGTGTGCGTGTGTGTGTGTATCTGTGTGTGTGTGTGTGTGTGTGTCTCTGTGTGTGTGTGTGCTACCTGCTGCTGAGGGGGAGAGCCCTGCAGCTGGCTCTGGCTCCTGATTGGCTGCTGGCTGTCCGGTGGGTTGTACACAGCAGGGCTCCCGTCCGGGTTGAGGAAAGGCTGCCCTGAAAGGTCAAAGGTCGAGACGGTGAATGTGGACATTCCTCGAAGGACTACTGCGTGTGTGTGTGTGTTTTTACATACCAGTCAGTGGGTTCACTAGAATGCTCCCTGGAGGGATCCCGTTCTCGGCGATGTAGGCCGAGTTGGGAGCCGTCTCCTCTATGATGGGAGGGGGAGACGGGTGAGGACAGGCGGGCGGAAGCCTGTACAGAGAGATGGAGCCTGAAGGAGAACGGAGAGGGGAGGAGAGAAAAATCAGAGTAAGAATAGACGCGGAGAGGAGAGAACACACACCTTCGGTCTGCGCCAAAAACAAACCGCATGTCACCCTTCAGCACAATGAGTTTTTTTTTCTTTCTTTCTTCCTTCGCTGAATATGTGAAGAAGACTGGAGGTGTTGTGTGAAAATTTACAGCTATGGTGTGAAGCCTCATGGATCGAGTTGAGTCTTCACACCAGAACTTCCACCGCTTTCTGCTAATGAGATGCTACCGAATAAGGAGCCGATAATTTATAAGCAGCGATCTTCAAAGTGCTGATGAAGTTTGTGGGAGCGCAGATGTGAGGGAGCGAACCGCCTCAGCCTCTGACTCTGAATCTGCCGCCCTGAGGGTGTAAATTAAGCGTTATCGGACTCGGTTGGGAGGGTTTTGAAGGCGGACCTCGTGCGTCCCAGCCGTGGGCGGCGGGCGGGCAGGCTTTGGGCGCCGGGCTGGTCCACTGATGGGAGGAGTCGGAGTCGGTGCTGCTCCAGGGTCGGGGGTCGTTGCTATAGCGACAGTCGGTCTCGGTGCTGCTCTGCCTGCTGCTGCCCGTCCAGCTGGAGCCGGAGCTGTCCCTGCTGCCCCTGAGGAGCACATCCACACAGTCACTCCCCCCACAGTGATCTATAACGGATTTATTTTCTGCCGGGACATCTAAACCCCGACACACACAGTGAGGAGAATCTAGGTCCCCTTCCCGCCGCCCAGCGGCAGATGACGGATGAGGAGCTCTACCTGAATAGCTGCCTCCTCCTCTGGGTCTCAGCGTATGGATTGTACTCCTCCACATCTCTGCACACACACACACACACACACACACGGACACACACGGACACGTATTAATGCCCTATTCTAAATAGAAACTGAGAGACACACGAGATGGTTTAGAAAATCACCGCAGGCAAGGTTACCTGGATTCGGCGTGGGCGCTCTCCTGGGTGCAGAGGGGCTGAAAAAGTGCAGAGCAGAAGTGGGTTAGTCCTCCGTCCCGGAGCCACGGCCGCCGTGTCCGTCTCGCTCTCTTTCCTCTCACCTCCTTGCTGAAGATGCGTTCTCGCGCTCTTTGGTACTCCTCCTCTCTCTCCTCCATCGACTTGCTCTGCTTCTCCCGTAAAAGGTGAAAGCGGTTCTGCTGGCAGAGGACAAACGAAAAGGAGGTCAGCGGACGGCCTGGAAACGGCCTGGAGTCGGCGGTGGGGGGGGGGGCTCACACACACCTGCTCGTCTGAGCTGTTGTCTCTCTTCAGGATGATCTTCCACTGGTGGATTTCCTCGCTCTTGTCCTTGTGCACCTTGTCCAGAAAGCGCTGCTCCGGTCTGTATCAGAAAAAAGGCAGCGGGTTCGTTTACCCTGACGGCCCGAGCGGGCGGGGAAACGCAGAGAGAGAGAGAGAGAGGAGGCGCTTACATGCGTGTGCTGCCGGTCCTGTTGATGATGACAGACTTTCCCGTCTGGTCCACGTTGTGCTCCATGCCAAAGTAGGCCGCCACCCGATGGACCAGCATGCGGTGGTAGGACGACATGTGAGGAAACTTCTTAAAGGGACTGCGGGGCGGGGAGGAGGAGGAGGAGGCAGAATGGAAAAGAGACGAGAGAAAAAGGGAAAGATCAAGATAGAGAGCAGAAGAGGAGAAGGAAAGAGGAGGGCAGAGGTTAGTTATATTCACTCTTGGACGCCAACACACCTCCCACGGCGACAAGCCGCAATAAATAAAGAGAAATACGGAAAACTGCAACATACAGGCGGTGAACATACAGCGCTCAGACCTGAACAGGATTTAATATTGAAACCTTTTTTATATGAGCACATTAAATTGGGCGATTGCAGAGGGGAGGGCTCAAGGTTAAAGGCTCTCCTTGACACACACACACACACACACACACACACACACACACACACACACACA